CGGGGCGCCCCCAGGTAAGCCGCTGCTGAAACTGCCCAGCGGCTGACTACAGGAAGCCCGAGGCAGAGTTGCTCTGCCCCAGGCTTCCTGAAATCAGCCGCTGATCAGTTTCAGCAGCAGCTGACTTGGGGACTCCTGGGTTTCTTAAGTTGAATCTGTATGTAAGTCAGAACTGGCGTCCAGATTCAGCCGCGGTTGAAACTGATCAGTTTCAGCAGCAGCTGACGCCAGTTCCGACTTACATACAGATTCAACTTAAGAACAAACCTACAGTCCCTATCTTGTACGTAACCCGGGGACTGCCTGTATCTCCTTTGCTCAATTCATTTGAAAAAAACTTGACACACCACCTTTATGGATCATCATCAGCCAATTTCTATGCATTTTCTCAAGTACTTAATATGTTACACAAATTATTACTGTGCGAGGAACTCATTTTCTTCATTTATTTGTTCATAGTATACTGAAACTGAATTTAGCTTTAAAGTCAACATTCTGGGAGGAGAATGTAAAGTGTTTCTCACCTTTGGTGGATGCCTTCTGCAAATTATCCTTTTCTAGAATAAACAAACAAAAAAGTTGTCTTTAGCTTTATCAGAAAACAAAGATGTCTAAAGTTATAATCACATTCACAAGAAACTAACATTATCAGCCATAACTAGTCATTTAATATGTAGAATGTTTTTATAATGCAAATTCTCTATACTGGAACACTTACTTTTAGCAATTAGCTCTCGCTCAGTCTTCCCATCATCCTGATATTCATCTAACCATCTTTCATTGTAAAAAGATAATGAGAATTATGGTAGTTAGCAATTAATCTTATTATAAAGAATCTCCAGATTATTTCCCCTCCTTTCACCAACATTTTTGTGTATCTCTTGTCAAGCTAAGTCTTGTAAACACTTACTGGGACAAGTTCCCTTCTGATATGAATTGGCACAGCTCCACTCATTCAGTGAAATTGTGCCAATTTTCACCACAGATCATTTGACCTACTATATTACTACCAGGCAATGAGATTACTCATGGTAGTTAGCACTACACCTGATAGTAACTAGTAAGTATTGACTGGTTTCTTAGATGCTAAGAAGCTCTATGCAGCTTCTAGAGCTTCTGTGGAGGGCATCCAGGAAGATGAATTTCTCCTCTGTTTTGCCCTTCACTGTATATTACCAGATTTGAGGGACTTAACTCTAAACTCGGCATACTAAAAAAATAGACCTACATACTTCTTAAATCGATCCCCCTACCTCATATTAGAACCTTTTAAAGCCTTTAAATGGGTACTTTTATTTTAAAATATTGGTAACTATTATACGCTTCCAAGTTAGTGGCTCCCTTTTGGTGCATCCTTTATTTAAATCTAAACAACTGCAATCCAGTCTACTCTCCATATACAAAGTAACTGTGTAAATAAATCTGTGTACAGAGAGAAGAGTAGACTCCATTATGTTCAAACTATTGTTGCCATAAATACCTTGATTAACCTTTGTGAATTCTCTTCTGATTGCCTCCAAGGAAGCAGAAGATCACTAACCATTTTTAAAAATAGACAGGAAATTTGGTTCATTGGTAGCAGTTACTGCAGGCAAAGAATTACAGAGGCCCCTCTAGTTCTATAGATAATGTCTCTAACCTTTTTCTAGTGCTTAATAAGTTCTTTTTGACAAGGCAGTTTTATAGCAAGTCCACAGTCTCAGTCAAGTATCCCTCCCTTAGGAGAAATCTCATAAAATCTCTCTGACATTACAGAAACAATTGTCTCATCTGTCTACTCTTCAAACAACCAACTTTAATGTAAACCAAACTAATTAAATAGCCGAATAGATAAAAAACTAATAATTACAATAATAGTGTTCAGGGGGAAGTTGTTAGCTAACAATTTGCAAGTTTTGGGGTTTTTTTTTGGCAAACTGAGGTTTTTTAAGCTAGAGGGCAATTTTCTCTTAAAAACAGGTAATGATTCCTTTCTTGACTGAATTTCTAATTGATAAGTAAAATTGTAAGACAACCGCCACCCAAAAAAATGATTGAGCTGACATGAACAAGTATTTTGTAGCCAAAAAATATATAGTCCAAGCATTTGGAAAGCCTGAAGTGCAATGCATAATCTGCTTCATTTTAAAATACGCTTCTCTGATTTATATTTATATTGTTAGATATAGATATAATACCCACAAATGCACATCTTTTCATATTTAATTCTACCAGATGCAAGCCTATCTAAAGTTTATATGGTGGTTGGTTCACCATACAAATTGCTAAAGGCTAGGTTGTTGTCTAGGCTAGCAAAATATCTGGAACAGAAGAATGTTCAGTCACTGTGAGCAGGATATTTTCCAAATTTGACCTTTGCTTCTTGAGTAGAGAAACATTTTAATATCCTCTAGAATTGCATCTAGATATAAAGTTCTCTTCAAAGATTTCCATTATAGTAAGTTCACTCTAATGACCTTTAGTGACTGGGAAATGCAAAATGAGCTGACCCTAATCCTTGTAATGTAACATCTTCTAAGGAACAGAAAACTGAAAGGTTATTTAGTTTTATATGGTATATATGTGCAAGGCAAAGGAAAAATTATTGCACCATTTCACCCACAGAACATTTGGCTTTTGATTTTTTTCCATACATTCCCATGCTGATTTAGCAGCCTTTTCTACATGGCTTAGAACAGTGAATTCTGTTCACCCCTTACTCCCTAGGGGTATGTCTACACTACAAAGTTAGTTCGAACTAACGGACGTTAGTTCGAACTAACTTTCCTAGGCGCTACACTAGCGCTCCGTTAGTTCGAACTTAATTCAAACTAACGGAGCGCTTAGTTCGAACTAGGTAAACCTCATTTTACGAGGACTAACGCCTACTTCGAACTAGCTAGTTCGAACTAAGGGCTGTGTAGCCCTTTAGTTCGAACTAGTGGGAGGCTAGCCCTTCCCAGGTTCCCCCTGGTGGCCTCTCTGGGCACAACCAGGAAAACTCTTCTCCTCTCCCCCAGCCCCGGGCCCTTAAAGGGGTAGACTCTGGCCAGACGGCACTAGAGTCAGCCAGCCCTGCCAGGAGTCTCTGCCCTGAACCAGTGCCCCCACCATGAGCCAGGCAGCCAGTGCGAGTGACACGTCCCCTGCCCAGTCCCCCAGCACCCAGGGGCCAGCCAGGGGCCGTAGACGGCGCGTGGCCTCCTGGACTAGTGCGGAGGGCATGGACCTCATTGAGGTTTGGGGGCAGGCCCCCAACGTCCATGATCTCCGCACTAGGAGGAGGAATGCGGCCGTCTATGGGCGCATAGCAGCCGCCATGGCCACCAGGGGACACAGGCGCACCCAGGAGCAGGTGCGCATTAAAATTAAAAAGCTGCGCCAGGCGTACGCCAGGGCCACAAGAGGCGGCGCCACTGCAGGGGCTGCCACCTGCCCCTACTTCACTGCCCTCCACCAAGTCTTGGGGGGCAAGGCGGTCCATGCCAGCCCGGGGGCCATCGAGCCAGGACCAGAGGGCCCTGACCTGGGCACACCAGAAGGGTCACCGCCAGCAGCGTCGTCCAGGGAGACCGTACCAGGTAAGTAGTTTGAATTAAGTAGTTCGGGGGGGGGAGGTGGGAGGGAGACCAGGGACCGCGCGCGGGGGCCATGCCTTCCACGGATCACGCAGACACCTGTGCACGTGCGAGCACGTGCCATGCCACCCTTGGGCAGGTGGCTCCAGCTGCGTGACACCCAGGGGCCATTGCCCAATAGGCACATGCTTGTGCAAAGAGACGTGACATGCTCCCGACCCCGGGGCAGGACCCAGCAGGATGATTTCCCTTCACATGTCCCCTCTACACGGAGGCAGGGGACATCTCCCCTTCCCCCCCGCCGCCCCGGCCACACTATACATGGCACAGGGACATGGGTGCGGTCTTGGGGCAGCTCCCAGTCCCGGGGAGAGCCAGACATCCTGACCATGGCCTCTGTACAAGCACAGCGGCTGTGACGGTGCAGGACATGGTCACCCTCACGTTGTGGAGTTGGGGAGGGGGCTGGGCATCATCCTCTGCGTCCCCAGGGAGAACTGACCCCTTCTCTTCTTTCTCTACAGCTGCACCAGCTGCTCGTGCAGGGCGCACCACCCCGCCTGGGACATGCTCCCGCACCCGCGGCCTGCTCCCGACTGCCAGCACGGAGCAGGAATACTGGGACCAGCACGTTGGGGCCCTGCAAGCCGTGCACCGCACACTACGGTCGTGGATGCAGGAAGACCTGCAGGTCCGCCACGAGCTGCTGTCTGAGCTCCGAGGGCTGAGCACCAACCTGCAGCTCCTGCTGCAGAGCATGGTGCCCCGTGCTGATCCTGCACCAGCTGTCCCCCCAACTGCTGTCCCTCCTCCCACTCCTGCTCCCCCTCCCACCTCTCCCTCCTCAACCCCCACAACCTCTTCCTCAATGTCCACACCCCCCACCTCAACCTCCGCACCCTCCACCCCATCCTCCCGGGGACACCGAGGCCCCCTCCCTCGCCGTACTGGGAGGCGGTCGGCCCGGCAAGACCCCCACCCCTGATCCTTCAGTTTCCCCACCCCCTCCTTTCCCTTGCTTCCCCCTTTCAGCTCCCTCCTCCCAGTTTTCCCCCTCCCCTCTCCCAGCCTCTCTCTTCCCCTCTCCCACCTCCTTTTCCCAGTTTCCCCGAGTTTTGTTAAATAAACAGAGTTTCTATTTTTGAACACACGTGTCCTTTATTTTGTACATCAATAAGAAGGGGGGCTAGGGAAGGGTAAGTGGAAGGAGGTGAGGGAGGAAGGGGGCACGAGCCCCCGATGGGGAGGACTGGGCTGGCTCTGCGGGCTTCTGGGGGTGGAAGCTCTCCTGCAGCCCCCCGATTGTCCCCTCTCCCCAGATGGCAGCCTGCGGCAAGTGCAGCCGGTCTGATGGCCGAGTGGTGTGATGTGCCCAGTGTGGGTACTTCGGGCACTCCAAGCCAGGACTGGTTTGTAAGCGGGGCACCCCTGAGAACTGTCTGTCCGGGGTGGGGGTCGGGACCCTTTAAGCGCAGCCCTCGGCTAGCCTGAGACTGCATCTCCTCGCTCTAAGTCCTCCTCTGATGCCCTGCCGGCACTGCTTCCGGCCATCCTTAAGCCCTGTTCAGAGTCCACTCAATGTGGACTTGCTAGTTCGAATTAGCAAAATGCTAATTCAAACTAGTTTTTAGTTCTAGCTGTGTTAGTTCGAACTAGCTTAGTTCGAATTAACTAATTCGAACTAAGTTAGTTCGAACTAGCGCTGTAGTGTAGACGTACCCTAGAAGACAGCTGGTCAAGATTCATATACAGTACTCAGGTTTTATGCTGGCACCAAAGTATTTTTAAAGTGTTTGGCTCTGTTCCTGCAATGTTTTTCTTAAGCTGTTCATTAGTATAATGAACTACAATTCTGATTTTCCCATGCATGGCATACCTGTTACAGGGAAACATAATTTCTTGATCATCGTCCTCTTTAAATTTGACCACAACCTTTTCAAGGAACCATCCATTGCCTGGGTTGAAATGACAAAAGTTTACTTACAATTTTGTTGTTGTTGTTGAGAAAAAAAAATCTTTAAGAGAAAAGTTGAAATCAAACTAGCTGCTTTCCCCACAGCAGATCCCATTAGGTCAAAACAGCTAAAGAAGTGAAAAGTTAATCTCACAAGAGTCTCATTCTGCTTCTAAGCCATAATGCTCCTATGCATAGTCAGGAGACTATTTTGATTTCAGCTGAGTATTCTTTGTTTGGATATGGGTGTGCACTAGCATCTGTAAACTGCTACCATCACTCCCACTCCGACCTATGCTCTTCTATTCCTTCTGTTCAAGTTCACATATGGGTATTAGGACAATATTCTGTAATATACCAGGGTTCATTATAAGAACCAAATTCCTTGGCCCGTTGGGAATGAAGTACATGATGTTATTAATGTGGAGTGCATTGGATTAATATATAACGTCCTCATTCATGTGTTCTCTTACAATAGCCTTACATGGTCTCTGAAAAACATAAGCTTTCGATCTTGAAAAGAGTTCAATAAAAACCATTTGAAATAAATCAAGGCAAAGTGTGGCGTAAGAAATGAATAAGCATTAAAGTAACTAATTCTGACTTTAAAAAAATTGAACAGAGGAGGTTCTTCTATTGAGGTAAAAGCCTCTTCACTAAGCTTTTCAAATTTGTGTTTTCTTCAAGCTTTGGTTTCAAGGGCACGTTTTTGTTCAGCTTTTTCCTTCTATAAAGAGACCAAAGCATACTCTTAACTAAACTTCTTACAAGTTATTGCCCAAGGTAATCACATATCCTGCATTTATGTAACACTTTAAGTGTGAAAAATCCAAGCACTTTACAGATTATTTATATAGTGTTCACTTACTATCACTGAATTGCCTCAAACTACCACTCACCTATCACCATTCTCTGGGGTAGAACACAGGAGCCATTCTCTACCAGCAATACTAAACAAGTGCCTAGCAACTTTCTACATATGGTATACATAGTAACCACCATTGTAGAGAGAAGAATTTAGTAATAAGTTACTCAACTGAAAACACAGGAGGAATTTAGGTACGCTGAATATAATGACCTAATTTAGAATTTGGCCATGGTTAACACTAGCATTCTTGCAAAAAGGACAAAAGGAATGTTAAAAACCTTATTTTCACAATTTATCTGAAAGATATTTCCCATCGGACAATGGGCAGTGCATCGATCCAGTACTGACTCAGATGGAAGAATGTCACCTACTGATTTATAAGAACATCTCCTAGTGCACTGGTTTTTTTTCTCAGGCAATGCCCATTCCAGCCAAGTACTAGGAGCAGAAGGAAATTATTATTTTAAAATAAAGTGTACATGAGCTGAAGTTGACAAGGTGGGTTACATCATATCTTTTATGAAATCTAACAAAAAGCTCTGTGTAGCTTGAAGCTTGTCTCTTTCACCATGTTGGTCTAATATCAGGTATTATTTAACTCACCTTGTCAAACTTCTTATAATTCTACTCCTCCTCCATGCCTTCCCTCCAACTTGAACACTTACTCATTTCAACTGGTCATTAATTAGATTGTAAGCTTTAGGAGTAAGGACAATATATTTACACAGAGCCTAAGACAATGCACTGTGATCCTCAATAATAAGTATTAACTAGATTTCTCCTGCTTAGGAGATCCAATCTGACTCTACTCTGCAAATAGAGTAGACTTGAAAATGTCATCTTTTCTTTTATACTATGCCAGTGATATTCAAATGTATTACACATTGATCTTGATCTCACTTCACTTATCCACAGATATGATCAAGGCTAGTCTCATTTTGTTTAAGACCATAGAGAGCAAATGTAATGGCATGCACAGGAACAATTCCACACTGCCCAGCAACATGAAGCAAATGGCCTAGTGTTGCCAGATTCTCTCTGCGTCCTCTGTGGAGCAAGGATGTTGTTATGGTTCTCAGAGAGTTGACTTAATGGCAAAGTGGCATCAAATCACGGCTCTAACTCTATTTCTGTTCCTTATTTTCATTCGCTGTCTTCTGAAGAATCATTTTATCCAGCTCTATAAGAGTTACCATGGTGAATTCTTCTGGGGTACTTTGTGAGACCAACAAACAGCACTCTTTTCAAAATCAGCTTGCAAACCAACTGATAGTTAACTGATGTTTTTTGATACTAAACTCCACTTGCCTTTTGCAGTCCATTACCCAAGCTATCAGACTATATATAATCCCACCACTGCGACTAGTCTGCAGGAATCGGTACTTGTGTCTTTTTATTATTATTATTCTCTCTTCAAGACCTTTTGTAACACTTTGTATGAAGGGTGCTCTCTGTGCAAATCAAGTGTATTGTGTTGTAAAACATCTTGCAAAACAGATTAGTCACTACAAAATGAATTCCTACCTGGACCAGTTCCATCATGACTAATCACAAGTTTCTTCAGATCTCTTAGTGATACTGCCTTTATGATGAAGATATCCACCTACAGAATCATCAAAATGAGATTGATAAAGGCCTTGATCATGTAAGATCTTGCATGATGGAATGGTGTCCCTAGCTTCTGTTCCTCTAGAGGTGGGTGACAGCGGAGAGAACACATGAGGATTAACTGTTGTGTTACCTCCTTATGGGGCATCTGGTATTGGCCACTGTCAGCAGACAGGATACTGGGCTGGGATGGACCATTGGTCTGACCCAGCATGGCTGCTCTTATGATGCCCAGGAGCATGGACAAGATTGTTGACTTCCAGAGGAAACACAAGCAAAAGCTATTTATGTATACGAGTAAGGCTAAGCGCTATACTAAACCCCCGGAGAAAGGAGCATGTTGGGGGTAGTAGAAGAATGTAGCCTGATTCCAAGAATAACATTCAGGGAACAGAAGCACTACCATGACCCTGCAATCTATGTGTCCAATCAAAACTAAACAGAGCATATAAATTGTTCATTTACAATGCACAGGCCAAAAGATTCAAATAAATTAATTCCCTGCATAATTTTTAATAAACAGCTGAGAAAACTGAACTGCTCCAGGATAAATGTGTAAATACAAAATATCTCTACACGTTGGAAAAAAAACAAACCTTTTTTATACAAATAATTTGTTGGCATTCATCAGTTTTGAACATTTTTTTCCTTTACCTGGCCATGCTGAAATTTGATGTTATTATTCTTAGATTGGTGAAGCTTTCGCTTTCCAGAATCTCCTCTCGTTCCAATGAGGGTGGCGTATACATTAGAATTTGCTTTGGCACCAAGTTTAGATCCTGTATATACATGGAGTTCATAAACCACCACTAAAAATAGATCAAACATTTGCATTATTTCCTTTCTTATGAATGGGATATGTTAGCTTTTCCCATTCTATAATTAGCCATAGCATATATTCATCCATTCATCCATGGCATAAAGGCAATCCATATAATCAAAATTTCCAGGCTCAGTCTGTAATCCTCTGTACCTAAACATGAGACTACAGATCTTAAAAAGCTGTAGTTTGTTCTGAACAAAGCAGCCCAACTGCTCCACAAAACAGGTTATCAAGTGTGCTTTCCCCAATTTTCTTCACTGGCTCCCTGCTGAGTAGCAGGCCAAATTCAAAGTTTCAATCCTATTTTCAAAACCTTTTCCTGAGTTCCATGAGGACTATTTCACTCGACATGCTCATGAACTCAGGCAAAGAACTATGTTTCATGGGAAACATGGAACCGTCATCAACAAGAATGAAATCAGCACAGGTAAATCACAGAATTGCAGCCCAAGAAGAATCAGAGTGATCATGAATCTCAGCATTTTCACGGCAAATGCGAAATTCACTTTTATTTGATTTAGCCTTCCCACAACAGCAAAACAAATGAAAACCACATATGTAGTCCCTGCTGATGAGACAGGAGAAGAAGAGAAAGAAAAAAATGTGATGATAATTTTGGGATTTGACCAAAAAGCATGATAATGCCACTGTATGAGACCTCAAACAGGTGTGCACACATACAGGCATATGCACATTGTCTGTACTAGGAAACAAGCTTGACCATGACCAGTTAAAGGTGGTAAACTCTGTTTACAGTAGGTCTTTGGAGTTATTTTATTTACGTACTTTGAAGTGCATCAGTATTATGATAATTATCCTAATAGTACTAAAACTTTTGTTTCAAAATAATTATATCCACCAATTACATACTATTATAATCTGCTACCCTTTTCAGTTATGAGAGGTTTTCTATATAATGTTTTTTGTTCCTAATTACATCTCAGTGGAATTTTTCCATGCAGTTTTTCTATTCTAATCACAGCTGGTCATTAGTGCTGCTATCCAGTAGACAACAGGAGAGATTACTGTTCCAGTAATAGGGATTTTTTAATAGCTCTTTGGAAAGAAGAAAGGTACTGGTGGAGCACAGGAATACACTTTTAACCACAGCCTTTAAGAAAGGGACAAAGGAGAAACCAGGAACATATAACAAACTACTTTGACCGTGGTACTAAATACTCAACCTGAAGCAAATACCAGCAGCCACACAACACAGCACAGAAACCTAGGAACCTATCCTGGAACAAACCCCATTGCCAACTCTGTCCACATATCTATACAAGTGATGCTTCTCAGGACCTAACCACATAATCCAAAACATCATGGGCTCATCTGCCTTCATATCCTCTAACGTGATCTATATCATCAAGTTCCAGCAAAATCCTTCTGCTATGTATACTGGCCAAATTGGACAGTCTCTGCGACAAAGGATAACTGGACACAAATCAGGCATAAAGGAATTGTAACACATGTAAACCTGCAGGAGAACACTTTAACCTCTCTGGGCATTGACCAATGGATGTAAGAGTAGCCATCCTTTTACAAAAGAATTTCAAAACCTGATTACAAAGGGAGACAGCAAAACTGGAATTTATTTGCAAATTCTGTACTATCAACTTGGGTCTGAATAAGGATCTTAACTGCTTAAGGCATTACAAAGACAATTTCCTCTTTCTTGCTATCCACATTTCCACATCAACTGCTGTGAATGAGCCACTTCCACCTTGACTTGATTACACTCATTTACACAAGTATCCTCTTTCTTTTGTTATCCTTATATATATAAAACCATGCCTCTGTAAATGTCACTTCAATTCATCTGATGAAGTGGGTTTTACCCACAAAAGCTTAAACCTGAATAAATCTGTTAGTCTGTAAGGTGTCGCAGGACTCATTTTTCCCCTATACGTATTAAAGATATTACTATTATTAAACCTCTACTCTTACTTCTGATAATAATGTGACATTAATATAGAACTTTTCATGAAAAAGGATCCCAAAACACACACAGTCATGTACACCACCACTGGCTCTACTGCTCCCATCATGAAATGCAGTGGTTCTTTAACAATGCAGAAGAATTTAGGACAGGAATTTAAGAATACTAACTTGCGTTTGCAGCTGAAGAGGGAATTTAGGTAGATAAAATGTGTGATTAATTGAATTAGAGTATGGCCACAACACTTAAGATAGCACCTGTAACTCTTGCAAAAAGTACCATTGGAATTTTAATAAACTTGAACTGGAGTCTAAGCCAAACAGTGCCTACAACACTCTACCTCCAAATAGGGTGTAGGATAAATCTGAAATTATAGAATTCAGGTCGGTTTACATTTATGTTAAGGAAGTATTTGTGTGGTAAAGGAAGGCCTTGACTAGTAAGAAGAAGAAATCCCTAGAAAATAAGAAATCATAAAACCAGAAGGAATGAAGTAGAAAGGATGTCTGGCTCAAAGAATAACTAATGAAATAAGAGAAAATTTCTAAATAGGAGATGTTTGGCAGATAGGGGTGGCTGAAGATGTTTTTAAATAAGATGAACAGACTGTCTAAAATGAGACAGCATGAAACTTCCCATCCCACATACCAATGTTGTAGCCTGTGTATCCATTTGGTAAAGTGTTGGGCAGTAAATTGGAGAGGTGGGGAAATGCCGTGGGAAGGAAGTAAATTGTAAATCTTACCTGGATTAAAACTGGTAATAAGGATAAATTGTCTCCGATTAGTTTTTAACTGAAATCAGTACAGAGCAGTGATATCACTTGTTTCCTGACGTATATATAGAAATTAGTTCTTAATAAGGTCATTGACAATATCTTCCTGACTACATTGGAGCCAACTACTGTAATATGGCTCTGAACACCTCTCGGTAAGCCAATTAAATGCTTTCTGTGTTTTAGCTGCTGTCTCGATGTACAAAATTACTTATTATTTAGGCTTCTTAGGCATGTTTAGTGCAATTGTGTAAGTACCATGCAACCTTTGGATTTAATGAAGGAATTTATAATTAAATTAGTGTTTTTTGTTCACCATAGTAATGTTAATATTCTCAAATATTATTAATAATTCTAACCTAGGACATTGGTTCAGTACTGGCTCAAAGGGAAGAATGCCACCTCCTGAATTACAATCACTACTTCCTGCAACATCATGTCTTTCCTTGCAACTCTCCCACCATATTTACTCAGACTAGGCACACTTAGTGGCTGAATTATAAGACATCATCCAGACAAATACATAATTGAGAAATTTTGTACAACTTGAAAAAAAACCTAGTCATTATGTTTCCAGAAGAAATGTATTTTATTAAAGGAACTTGTTGGAATTGTTTTTTTATAAATAACATGCAGCAGACGACAGAAGTGAAGCTGTAGGCATAATTAAGTTCTATTTCAAAATGATTTTAATATGATAGCTCATCATATATTCATACTGTTTACAGATTAGCAATAATAAAATAGAAAATACTCCTGTTGAAATAATAGGGAACTCTTCAGATGATGAGGGCAGAACTTAATGGTAGACCACTATACAGAAAAAAAAGAAACTACTAAAGAGCTACCGTGATCAGTGCTGTACACAATGTTTTTGGAGTCAAATTTCCAAAAGAGCATCTATGGGTTAGATTCTGCCACTAATGTTTATATTGAGTAAGCAGATCACCCAAGCCATTTGTGGAGGAAGGTTTTACACATAGTTAAAGTGGTAGGATTCAGCCCTAAGACCAGTGATGGGCAAAAGGGGATTCGGCTGGATATGGGCTGGATTCAGCTTGCCAAGCATGTTGATCTGGCCCACGGAATCCCTGCCATTCTCCCACCCCCAGGCCAATCAGGACCCGGGGGTGGGGAGAGCATGCAAAGTTTCCTCTGCCCCGCCCCTGCCCTGCAAGGAGCGGGAGGAGACTTTGCACACTCCCCTGCCCCCAAGCCTTCACAAAATCCGTTTTTGCACAAGATCCTTATGCCTCCCAGGTTTTGGGTGGTTTTTGTGCAAAACCCCTTGAGCAAAAAGAATCAGCAGAAAATACACGAATGATGTCATGACTCATTCTAATGAGTCCCTCACTAGCATATTTTCTGCCACAAAAACTCACAGTGTAGACAAAGCCATGATGTAAAGCCAAAAAAAAAATCTCTTTTCATTTCTTTGTAGTAGATCTTCATCTCACCATCTAAACACTTGAGGCAGAGGCCCTGTCTTACTCTGGGTTTTGTACATCCTAACAATGCTCAGTAAATATAATAAGGTTAATAATGGAATACATGTTTTTATTAACTGATATGATGTACTTTATAGAAAGGACTTCATAGAAAGTGTCAAGGAGAAAGGATCTCATTCAAAGATTCCAACAAGAGATGACTAGAGCAATTCCATACAGATGTGAATAGCAAACATCCTTTTGTCCAGATGGAGATTCTCACCAACACCAGCTCCAGTGGACACGGAGTATAATCAGATCTACTCATGGAGCTCCTATGTGATATGGAGCAGCTGGATCAAAGGGAAAAGTTAATGCTCAAGCCAATGGAGCTAGTGCATGCTCAGTATTGAAAACAATGAGGGTCACGTGACTGAGACAGGGTATCAGGTATGGATCCAGGGAGAGACACAATACTGTGGTAATTGATTGAACACTGGAAACCCAGAGCCAGAAAAGGAAACTGTTTTTAACTACAGGCTAGATATTAGGGCACCTTAGAGGCAATTTCCATAAGTAAAATTGCCTGTGTGTTGTTTTGCTGTTGATTTGGCCGTGTCTGTTCAAGGTAAACAGGGTTTATTTCCATACTATAAATCAGTGGTCCTCAAACTAGCTCAGGCTCCCTAATGGAGAGCAGAAAAACATTTGGAGGGTGGGGATGGGGCTTGGCCCACTTCCATGGAAAGTAGGAAGGGAGCACCATGCTTCCAGCCCCATTCTGCCCTCAGACCGGCACTGCTACCAGCCTCAATCCTTCCCCAATGCGTTCAGTCCCCAGTTCT